AGTGCTTGCAAAACACATAAAATTCCATCTCAATAAACTTCTAACTTTTTCTAGGCCTAGGTAACAACTATTTATTTCTTGTCATACTCAATACAACAACTTCATGGTGCTTCAAAAGAATTTATTCAGATTTGTGAGCTGATCTACAAGGAATGTGCCTTGTAACTTGAAATGAAGAGCTCCCGAGAGATGACTTTGATAGTCTAGATTTCTGACTTTCCTGATTCTGTGAAAGATATTTATACCTGACATTTAATAGGGGGGAATAAAAGCTAAACAAAACCAAAAGGCATCATAAAAATCCCCTAATCTTCCTCTTTAAAAAGATGCAATCTTTTAAAAAAATTTCAGATTAACATGAGGGCACAAGTGATTGGGTGACAATGTTTGCATTTCTTAGGTAAGGGCCCCATTGTAGTTGTGTCCTGCACTCAGAAGGTGTGCCATATACCCATACAATGTGCCCATTAGGTGGGAGCACACCCTCCAATTTTCATTCATCTATCAGGTTCTTAAAAAAAAATATTAATTATAGCTAACACGATTTAACGCCTTTCCTCTTTTCCTCCTTCCCCTCCCCCAATTTGAATTAAATTGAGTTTCTAGATGTAACCTTAAACTTATTAGCCCTTTAGCATAGAAATATGTTCTTATTTCAAAAGTAAGTGATTTGAGATGGCAGCAAAACAATGGTCAATTTTTGGCAATCCAAATAAAAGAAAAATATGACATGATTAACATTGGTAAGCTTAAATTTAGCATTGGAGTCATTACATTTTCCATGGGTAAAGTACAAGACACAATTATCACAATTAAGAGATCTCAGCAAGAATATGGGGAGGAGGAGGGGAGAGGGAGGATGGGTGGAGGGAGGGTGATTGGAGGGATCACCTCTATGGTTAAGGGTACAAGTAAATCTTTCTAAAAGTAGAATATAAACGTCTTAACACAATAACTAAGAAAATGACATAAAGGCTATGTTAACCAGTTTGATGAAAATATTTCAGATTGTATATGAAAACACCACATTGTACCCCATGATTGCATTAATCTCCACAGCTATCATTTAATTAAAAAAATAAAAAAGAGTTCTAATTCTTCCCTGGTTAGCAAGATAAACTTCCAAAGGACCTTTAAAAAGGGCACTTTAGGTAAAATGCAATTGGCTAAGCCAAAACTTGCCTGAACAGTGATTAAAGAGTGGTGGGGTTCTGGACGAGTCTCTCCTCCCCACTAGCAGCATACGACACACCAGGGAACTTGTGAAACATTCCAACTCTCCCACGTACACAATCAGAAACTCTATTGGGAAGTCTCAGCAATCTATTTTAACTAGTGCATCCTGACTTAAGGACTACCATGGAAGATTCTACAGAGGATTCAAGTGTGAGACCAAACACAGGATGCCCAATTCTGTGTGTGTAGGCCATTTTTATTTTCACTGACCTCATCTATTCCAATTACCTGTCCCTTTTTGTAGGCAGGGCAAAGAGTAGGACCTTGTTCAAAACACACTCTGAAAAGGTCCTTAGATAGGTCTAATGGAAAAGTCATCTGTTACTTGTATGTTACCACAGCAACAGTGACACGAAGCACCATTTATTCTTATAAGAAAAGTCTCCTTTGCAGGGGACCTTGAGGATTTATAGAAGGATCACTTTATCCCAAGGAAACCAAATTCTGGAAAAGCAAATATGGGAAACTTAGCCTTGAAGCTTCCATATACACCTTTACAGCCCACATTCTGAGTGAACACTAATTACAGCTACCTAATACGGAAAACATGCATCCTAGAAAAATCTCCACTGTCTGCTCTGAAAGACATCATTTCCATGTAATGGAGAAAAGGAACATCTTACTTCAGTCTTCCTCCTGGTCCTGTAGTCCTGAATTTCACAGGGAAGGTGACCTGTTTTACCTCTACCCATCTTTAATACCACCTCCTGTCCTGGAACATCTTTCCTTTGGTCCACATTCAGTCCTCACTTTTGGGAAGTGTCATAAAAATAAGGTTTATCTCTGTATTTCTGTATCATAAAATCAGTTCTATTTTGTGTTTAGCCCTTATTTTTATAGTTTAGAAATAGCTTCCATATTTATCATGTCATTTGATTCTCATAATAGCCTGTGAGTGTTTATAATTTTGTTATTCCCACTTTACAGACAAGAAAACTGGAACTTAGCACTGACCTCAATAACTAACTAATCATTGAATATTAAAGAGGAATTACAAATGCTTTGCATAAAACATTAAATAATTCATGATGTCCAAAAGAACTCTCAAACTTGCTTGAGTATGTCATCTGCCAAGTGATATTCACCAGAAATCACCCAGGTTTGGTTGGGTGGTATTCTTTTGGTTTAGGAAGGGTGGAGAGTAGGAAGAAGAGAAAAAATAAGACGGATTAACTCTTCCAGCTATAGAACTCACTTAACTTGCAATGATGTCTGGAATTCCGTGGAGTTCACTGTTACAACAATGATGCTGCTGCTGCTAAGATTAATTAAGCTCTTACTATATGCCAGGTACTACTCACATACATTAAATATACTCAATAACCCTATTAAATTTCTATTTTACAAATGAGAAAAACATGGCACTAAAATTACACATCTTGCTCCCTGGACACAGGGGAGGTCCTGCAACTGGAAGTGTCATGCCCCTGTGAGGTCCCCTGCCAGTGATGGAAACTGACATGGAAGGGAACCATCCCCCAACCTGGATTATGCTTCCAAAGTTGCCACTTGGGCAACAATCTCCACATTTTCTCACTCAAAACATAATCAGAGCTCAGGTTCCAAGTAATCAAGTGTCGACTGAGACTCCAAACAGCCAATCCTTACCAGACAATTCTACGAATGTTTTCTAGATCTTAGCGATGGAACACTGGCTAATTTGCCTGGAACTGCCTTCAGCCATTTAAGAAAAATTAGAGAGGAAAGCAGCTTTGGAGGAAACGTGCAAATTAAGGATGCATGTGGGAGGCAGCAAGTTCTAGTAAATGCACAGAGCTAATGGCTCTGATTTTTCTTTAAAGAAATATAAATAAAAAGGAGTCTTCACTTACTCCTGTCTTTTTTTTTTTTCTCTACTTTTTCCAACTGCTAACATTTGGAGCTGTATGAGGCAGCCAGCTTTACATATTGATCAATCTTTAAATTTACACATTTTTTAAAAAGATAAAGATCAAGCTGAAGACACCATTCCTAGGCAAAAGAGAGAAATGACATTTTGAATGAATGTAGTCTTCATGGGCGCAAGTATACTACCTACCATCATGGGGGTTGGGGTTGGAGGGACAACTTTCCAAAGACATCCTCAAATTTGCTTACCTTCTTCACTTCCTGCCTCTACTTTTCACTGAATAACCACTTTGAAATCCTAAAAGTTCAAGAAAAGACCCACTTTAACAAACAGCACGCTCCAGAGACTAGACTGACCACAAATTGAGTGACGTTTCATATCTACACTTCCTCCATACTCTTCAATAATCCAGGTCCAACTACTTACAAACCCGTGGACCCTGGGTGCTTCACTTTCCTCTTCTATAAAATGGGGATGATAATACCTTCTTCATCAGGTTGGTGTGAAAACTAATAACCGTAAAGCACTTAGAATTCTGCCTGACAGGGTAAAGGGCTCATTGGCTGTTATTATTATTTATTACTATTGTTTGCAAAAACATTACAACAGAGAATCATATCCAGGAGGCTTCTACTGTATCGTAATGTTTTATTGCTTTTCAGAAATTTTGAAATCAAAACAACCGTCAATACACGGAAAAAAGGCAGCTCTTGGGGAAAGTGTGTGTGTGAGGGGGCGTAGGAAGTCACCCATAATCTGGTCACCTGTTGGTAAATTTCAGGTGATGGCGCAGCTGCGAGCGTCGGGTTCCACGGCTGTTCTGTAAGAGCCAGACTGCAGGCGGGCTCGCGAACCCCAAAGAGTTGTATGGGGAACTGGGTGAGGCTGTGGCTCTGGGCATATTAGGAAAGGGGATCCGTCCCACCACCTCTAATGACCCTGTAGCGAGCAACACGCTTTTTACAGGGTTAAACTCAGGTGATAACGACGAAACAATTCACTTCTTGAAAGACTGAAGCAATAACCGAGACATCTGAGCTGTTAATCAGTTATCTCAACCACAGAAAGATCCGGCATCACCAGGGGCGGGCAAGAAGCACGCCAGGCGGCGCGCGGCGCTGCGCCCAAGTTCACTTACAGACCGACCCGCGAACTTCACTCTTGAAAAACGCACCCGCTCCGCAGACCCCACTTGGGTACTCAGGGTTTAACTTCACCGCCCCTCCCCCACCCCTCGTTCCTTTCCAAGAACAAACTCGAAGAAAACTGGCAACGCTGTCCAGTCTAGGGTTTCACTCCTGCCCTCCGCTGACACTGAAACTACTCCTCCCAGGGAAGTTTAATTAAAAGAACAATTAATCCGCACAAAAATCTAAAATCTACCCCAAAGCTTAAAAGCCCTTAAAGTTTAGAGGATTGAGGGCGCCACTGCTGATCGTGAACATCTCTCCGTCCCCGGGGCTCAGGCTAGTAGGCAGGGGTAGGAAAGGCAAGCAAGGAAGACCCGGCGGAGGGTCGGACGCCCGCCGCACGCTCCGAGGAGACTCCGTCTACTCGCCACCGCCGCTGGTGAAGACAGGCTTGGAGGCAGCCGGGTAAGTAGATGGGTGTGGGCATGTGTATGCACAGACACACGGCCGCGGCAGATTAAAGTTCAAGCCCATTCACACATCGCTTCCCCTTCCCAGGCGTTCCCACGAACAGCCCAGGCAGCCACTGTCCGGGGAAAGCTTGGGCGCTAGACAGTCCTCCTTTTTGTAATTCTTAGGGACTCCCCTTGTCTCCCTGGCGCCAACCCATTAAAAGCATTAGTCTCCCTTCTCTCGCCTAGGCCGGCGCAGGAAACCCCCAGAAAAGAGAAATGGAAAGGACAGGGAAAAACGAGCGCGGGGCGCGCAGCCGGCAGCGTACGTACCCAGCGCCAACAGGGCGAGCAGTCCAGCCGAGGTGACCATTTTACGGGCGGGCGGGCAGCAGGCGCTCCAGCCTCCTGCCCTACCTGCGGTGCCCGAGTGGCGGAGCGGCGCCGCGGTGCGGGGGAAAAAGGCGCCGGAGAGACAGGGCCAGCCCCCGGCGCGGGCGGGCGGAAGGAGGACCGAGCGCCTCTCCGCTGGCACACACCCCGCAGCGATACCGGCCGGGCGGAAATAGGAAGGCGGTTACCGTCACCTCCGCACCACTCGGCGACCTGGGCACGGCTGACCCCACTCCTGCCCCAATGGGGGTGCCCCCCTAAGGGCACAGGGGGTGGGGGGTTGGGGGCGGAGACGCTGAGCGCACCAGCCGGGCGCGGGCGGCAGGGCGGGGCATCTCGGGATCTCCGAACAGGGCAGCGCAAGCCGGGCACCAGGGCAAAGGAAAAAGGCAGGAAGCGCCTGACTACAGACACTACCCTAAGATTGCCAGCGCAGTGTGACCGCGGACTCCGGTCTGCGGGGTCAGCGGAGCCTGAGCGTTCCGGGGCGCAGTGGCAGCTTCTAAGCTCTAGGTGGCGGAGCGGAGCCGCCGGGGTGCCGGTCACCTGCACCAAGGGCGGCTCCAGGGCCTCTCTGGGGCAAGGAACTGGGGACACCGCCAGAAGAGGGCCCAAGGAGCTTTGTCGCCCACCTGGCCAGACCTGGCCCCAAGTCCAGGAAAGCGTTCCCTAGAGTCAAGCAAAGAATTTGTTAAACCAGGTTTCCACCCGTAGCCTCATCTCCATCAATTCCGGGGATCCCTGTTGCCTGGCACAACCACCCAGTGTCCCCCAAGGGGGCATGTTGACAAGATCAGTGAATCTTCATACTTCTGGCTTGTGGCTGATAATGAAGATGAGTCTACGAGGAATCTGGTTATATACACCACCACCACTATCCCTACCCTGTTCACTGTGTGCTGAGAGGGTTGTGCGGGCCAGAGTCACCTGGATGGCCTTTTCAGGATCTGTGGCTTTCAGCTGATCCCTGGTGCTGGAATTTAGGGAGGCAGTGGGAACAAAAGGGAAGACAATTCTGGCCAGAGACCATAAGATCCATAGGTTCCGTGGGGACTGTCCACAGAAAACAATACACTTAACGGAGTCAGTGATCAGCCATAGTCTCTGCATGCCTGGAACTCACCAACTGGCCCTCTTCTGCCACCTTTGGACTATTTGGACTACCTGCTCTGAGGTAGACCCACTCTCCTAGGATTTAGGGGAGTGTTGGGTGTTGGGAATCTCTTGCTGTTTCCTTGGCAGGAGGAGGCTCAGGCTCTCAGGGTTGACTTGCCAAATTTATTTCATATGAGGGGAGGAGCCTGGGTTTCAAGAAGGAAACACCAGGCCATTGGTCTCAACATTCCATCAGGAAACACCAGTATAAAGGGATTTTGAAAAGGGTGTAAATTTACATTGATGAATCATTCCTTTCAATACATTTGTCAGAGGATACTTTGTTCTTTTAAACCCTAATAACCCTGAATGAGCCACAAGGAGAGCAGGTTTTTTCCCCCCAGTTGAGGATCCCACTCTGTTGCTTGGGCTAGAGTACAGTCATAGCTCATTGTAGCCTTCAACTCCTGAGCTCAAGCAATTCTCCTATCTCAGCCTCTCAAGTAACCAGAAATATAGATGTGTACTACCACACATAGCTAATTAAAAGAAACTTTCTGTGGAGATGGGTCTTGCTATGTTGACCAGCTTGGTCTCAAACTCCTGGCCTAAAGTAATCCTCCTGCCTTGGCTTTCCCAAAGTGTTGGGATTATAGGCATGAGCCATAGTACCTGGCCTCAAGTAGAGTGTTATGGTAAATTCTGGGATATTCTTTCCCTCATGCCATGCAGGCACATCCAGGATACACATGTACTTGCTAATAGGTTGTCCCTGACTTCCTTCAGCATCCAGGTCCACTTCCTTCAGGGGGTCTTGACCTGTTCTAGTGGCTTTCCTGTCTTCTCCCTAGACTAGTCTGTCTCCACTGCAGAGAGACCTCTCACCTTGCTTCCTCCTGGAACATGTACTTCAAGCTCACTAAGGCGGAAGGGTGGCTGCTTGCCCACGGAGCGTCCAGCTCAGCAGCTTCCTCTTCTCTGCCCCCTGCCCACACATCAAGTTGGGGGTGGAGGGAGTAGCAAAATCAAGCCAAAATTTGTCCCCTTCAGAATTAGAAAACCTATTTAATCAAGAGATAATGTTCCATCTTGCAAACTAAAGAGTACTCAAATCAAAGTGCATTCTAATGTTTGAAAATCATTAATTCTCCCCCAGGAGTTTAAACATTGGTCCATATATGCAGTTTTAAAACCTTCCAATTCCTTCAAGTCAAACCTATAATTGGGGGTGGTTTCTTTTTTTTTAACTTCATTTTTTTTTTTTGTGAACTGAACAAATGATTTTTGCATGATTATTCATAAAACAAGGAGGAAATCTAATATCCCTAAACTGTTGACACTCTGGCTTTGACTTTTTATTTATCTCCTTTAATCCTCACAACAACCTTATGAGACAGATCCTATCTCCTTTTTATAAGAAAACAACCAAGATTGGAGAATTTAGTAACTTGCTCAGAATTACACAGTCAACAAGTGGTAGGTAGGGCCTCATTTTGAAAGCAAAATGAGCTGGTTCCAGGGCTCATGTATTCGCACTATGTTATGCTGCTTCAGTTTCCACATTTTTAATGAGGAGAATGCCTAACTCATTAGGTTGATGTAAGCGTTAAGTGCAAGAATTTATTTGCGTGCTTAGCACAATGTTTGATATCAACAAAGCTAGCTATTATTTCAAGGAAAAAAAAAACCCTCAGTGGACACACCTTCCCTTCTCAGTTCCCACCATTATCTTTATTTTCATATCAGTTCATTCACCTGGGCATGTGCATATGTGTACTCGTTCACACCCTTTCCTTTGGGAAACAGTATCACGGGTAAATAAGAAGCTATGATTTTTTTTCTCAGCCTGTGGAGTGAGAAGAATGAGGAAAAAAATTACAAAAGGCAATTGAGAGCAAAGAACTCGTTTTCTCTAAAGAGTGGTATGATATTTTTGTATTTTAGCAATACAGAATACCTTGCTCTTTGAGCTGAGTGAAATTCCAGCTGTAGCCCCTTGAAGCGGTATGGAGACTCAGGTGTTCCGTCACCCACAGATACTGTGCCTGGCCCCCTCAGCCGTTGAAGCTCCTACTTCTCCCTGCAAGTAGAAGTGGGTGAGTATGTGGCCTTCCCACTAAGACTACGCCTGGACTGCCTTTGCATACACTTGTGGCAGCTGGCTTTGAGCTCAGTATAATCCCTTCCATAGCAGGCCAATCATAGCCTCTCCTCTCTGTGCAAACAAGAGAACTATGTTCTGTTCTACTGAGAGGCCAGCGTAATCCCACTGTCAGTTTCCCCTTCCTTTCTTCTACATACTTATTACAGAGGGTATGGTTAAAGAGTCCCCTTCTTCACTGTAATCAGCCTCCCCCTCCTTCCTGATTCATTTGTGGAAGTGATTGCGGGGCTAAGAGTACCAGCGTCTTCACTGAATGATTCGGGACAGCTGAGTTTGCTGTTTAGCTAGGCAGTTACCCAAGATACTAATGAGTAAACAGTCCAGACATTCTTAGGGAGGAAGCACAGCCATGGGCCACAGCACTGAAGGAATTACAGTTCTTCGGCTAAGCCATGGCCGAGCTGGCTTAGGTGGTTGCAGTGGTTTGGGTGGGGGGGCTCAGAGGGAAAACAGGAAAGGGCTCCTGGCACAGTAGGAGGGCAAAGGTCACATTTCATCTGTGTATGAGAAAGAAAAGTTTTGTAAAGGACTCTGGAGAACTGTGTTAAGGGATTTAGAAAAAGAAATCTAATCCAAAGTAAGGTGTTGTCCAAGTATCAGCCTCCTCCAAGGCCTCAGCTATTAGTGTGTTGCTTATCTCTAGTGAAAGAAAAAAGTAGGAAACCTTATGCTGAGCTCATTTTTATACAGTTTTCATCGCCAGCATAATGAGTGGGGTAAGAAGCAATAAAAGGCACTTGCTTTGTCCTCAGTTACCTGGGTGATTTTCATGGCCAGTGTTGTCCAAAGACTGATCTGTCCTTCCGCTTAACATCTTCCATCCCCCAGCTCTACCTTGTGAAAGCACATGTACTAAGTTTGAATCCTTCCTAAAAGAGCACCCAACTTTCCTGTGGCCTTGGTTTGCTTACAACATTTGTCACAACCCACTTAGGAACATTACTGGGTTCCTTGCCAGAGGAGATATCATAGAATGGCTCTAAAGCCCAGTATTGAAGTCTGGAGGTTGGTGGAACAAGCAGCTGCATATCCCAGTCAAGGTGCTAGGTCAGAGTCTCTAGAACTCAGAGTCACCCCAATGAAGGGCATCGCCTAGTTCACGAATTTCTAGATGACCAAGATGCAGTAGAGGTGCCCAGAGGGTTCAGCACAGCTGACATCAAACAGTCCCACCAAGCATGCTTGGAGCAGGAGGAACTAACTACTCGTTCAGCTCTGTCTTCACTGTCTTTGCTGCTGTCCCTCAGCAACCTCAACCATACAGTCACGTGCCTTGCTGAGACTGGGAAGATTGCCTGCAGAATTCTCTGGAGTGCCCACAGGAAAACCCTAAGTCAAATGCCCAGACAGCCTCAGGCAAATGAGCCTAACAACGCTGAGGGAAATAGAATAGTATTGATCAAGAGAAGCGAAAGAGAGAGGGAAAAGAAAATACAAAGGAAGGAGAAATCGAAGAACTATGGAGAGCGACGAAAGGGCTTAATAATTATTTTTCAGAAATTCTCCCTAAGCTTAGAGGAAAAGGAAAAAAAAATCAAAAGCTAAGATGTGAGACAGAGAAAGACAAAGCCAGGATATCCAAAATATTTTTAAAGGGGAATCTCAGAAAGCACAGAGCTGAGAACACAGATGGTTCTTATATCCCACAGCAGGAGGGGTTAGTGATGAGAGGAGGAGGCATTACATCCCATAGGTGTGTCTAAAGAGAGGGTCTTGTTTCAAGAGACTCTGAAAAGCGCAAGGACAGACTTCCATTCTGTGACAGACACCCGGA